GAGCGCCAGGGAGCGCTTGGGAGCGCCGAGGAGCGCCTGGAAGCGTCTGGGAGCGCCTGGGAGCGCCCGGGCACGCGCCGGGAGCGCCTGGAAGCGCCTGGAAGCGCCTGGGAGCGCCTGGGATCGCCAGGGAGCGCCTGGGAGCGCTCGGGGGCGCTTCGGACGCGCCGGGAGCGCCTGGGAGCGCCGGGGAGCGCCTGGGAGCGCCTGGGAGCGCCAGGGAGGGCCAGGGAGCGCCTGGGAGCGCCTGGGAGCGCTTGGGAGCGCTTGGGGCCATTTGGGAATTTAACGGCCAGCGGCCCTAAACCTTAAAGGGCCTTAGTTGGGGAGGTCGCCGGCCATGCGGCCGGGGGTGGGAAGATGTTGCACCTCCTGCCCCCTTCGCCACGCTTGCTCGGGTCGGCCAGCCGCCCCCCCAATCAAGCTTGCCGAAGGGGGGGCAGCATTGCCTGGGCTGTCGGCCGCTGCGCTAAGAGAAGCCCTAAACCCTAGACTGGAAGCCGCGGGCGGTGCAACGTCCGCACCCCGTGGCGTCTGGCCGAGCGCTCAGCGAGCCTGCCCAGTTCCACGCACGTGGCACCGACGAAGCGCGCAGCGCTGAGGAGGCATTCGCCCGCCGCGCGCATGCGGCCGCCGCTTGTTCGCTCAATGAAAATAACCCCAACCCCCAGCCGTTGAATTCGCTGCGGTCGGTGCCATCCCTTGGGGCTCCAAACCTATGAAAATACACCATGCGGCGCCCTTTCGGCCGTTCGTGGGGCCGCAAGCCATGTGAAAATACAGCATGCGGCGCCCTGTCGGCCGTCCACGGCGCCCAGGCGCTTCCAGACGCTCCCAGGAGCTCCCAAGAGCTCCCCAAGCGTTCGAGGCACGCTCCCTGGCGCTCCCAGGCGCTCCCAGGCGATCCTCGGCGCGCGCCCAGGCGCTCCCAGGCGCTCCCGGCACGCCCCAGGCGCTCCCGCAAGGGCTCCCAGGCGCTCCCAGGAGCTCCCAGGCGTTCGCGGCACGCTCGCAGGCGCTCGCGCTCCCAGGCGCTCCCCAGCGCTCCCAAACGTTCCCAGGCGCTCCCGGCACGCTCCCATGCGCTCCCAAACGCTCCACGGCACGCTCCCAAGCGCAACGCGCACGCTCCCAGGCGCCCCCATGCGTTCCCCGCGCGCTCCCAGGCGCCCCCAGGCGCTCCCAGGCGCTCCCAGGCGTCAAGCATTCCCACGCGCTCCACAGCGCCCATCACCGCTCTGAGGCGCCACGCGGCGCTCCCAGGCGCTCCCGCGCGCTCCTGGGCACCCCAAGCGTTCCCACGCATTCGCAAGCGCTCCGCAGCGCTCCCCGGCGGCGCTTCCGGGCGCATGCCGCCATGCAGGTGCTGCCGCAGCCGCGCGCGCGCATCGCAGCGAGGGGGTGCCAGACCCACCCCCTCGCGCCCCCCCTACCGCCTTCCGAAGATCGCGCCGAAAGCGTCTGCGTCGACGATTGCACTCGCTTCAGCGGGGGCGACCCCAATGTCGAAACCCAAAGCCGCAGGCGAATGAAACTGCCTTGCGCGTCGCCGTCAGCGAGGAGCCCGACGGCGCAGCCGCTCGCTCGAGGCCCACGAGGGCCCATGGGATTGCCGCGCCAGCGCCCTCGCAGCGCTGCTTTCCAAATGCCGAGGGCAAATGTCGGACCCCTGTGGATCTGCTGCGCCAGCGGCAGCGCAACGGCGAAGCCCTCTGCCGAAGGCGCAAGCGGCCGCCTCATCGACGAGGCGAGCTGACGCGCCAGCGCCACGCACCCTGCGCGCGTGCTCGCATGGGCGCGCATTGCCACGGCCGCCCCAGCATTCGCAGCCCAGTGTCACAACCCAGTGCCGACAGCAAAAGCGACAAGACATGGACATGCTGCGCCAGCGGCAGCCCAACGGCGAAGCTCAACGCCGACATCGCCGACGGCTTCCTCTTCGACGCGGCAGCGAGCCGAAGCGCCTACGCCGCGCGCCCTGCGCGCGTGCACGCGTGGATGCGCGATGCCACGGCCGCGTCGTGACAGGGGGGTTGGGGGGAGAAACCCTAAACCCTACAAGGCTTCACTCTGGGTGGTCTGGGGCGGGAGTGCGACTAACCGTGGCGCGCGCGGCCTGGGCAGCGCCCCCCCCGACAATATTGATGGGGGGGGGATCGCAGCCAGCGCGCGGTTTCTCTAATGCAGGCCCTAAACCATAAATTTCTAATCCTATAATTATTAAACCCTGAATACCCTGAAAGCAGCCCGTATGCAAACCGGCTCCATCTACTGCAAAAAAATAGCATTTCCTGAGCACGCGCGCAGAATCTCATGTATTTTACAAGACAAAGTGCCCAGCCATCGTTGCAAACCCGCTCCATCTACTGCAAAAAACATGTTCTGAGCATGCGCGCAGCATTTCCTATTTTTTTACACACGCAAAGTGCCCAGCCCCCGTTGCGATCCGCTTATGTAAACCCGCTCCATCTCCTATATTTTACCAAACAAAATGCGACCCCCTTACGTACACCGCCTTCATCTCCTGGACAACCTCGCGCTTCCTGCGCATGCGTGCAGAATCTTTCGCCCGTTCGAGCACTCGCGTGCCCGCTGGATCGTGCATCCGTCGTCGCCGTCGTCGTCCTCGTCGTCGTCGTCGACGTTGCACTCGCTGTGGTTATACCGAGGGGAGAGATGATCTTTATGGCGGGGTGGCGCGCGGGTGGGAGTGACGGCCACCGCAGGCGGGTGCGCGGTCCACGTGTACGCGTGGCCACGCCTAGTAGACCCTAAACCCTAAACCCTAAACCCTCAAGACGAAAAGCACTCCGTATTGGGCAAGCCCGAACGACAGCAAGCATGGCGCCATCGCGACGCTCCCAAGCTCTCCGACGCCTTTCCAGGCGCTGCAAAGCGCTCCCAGGCGCTGCTGGGCAAGCCCAGGCGCTCCCAGGCGCGCCCAAGCTCTCCGTGCGAGCCGGGGCGCCCTCGGAGCGGCCCGACGAGCACTCCGTGCGAGCTGGCACAAGCGGGCCGCTCGAAATTGGGCCGGGACGTGATGGAGCCCGAAACCAAATTAAATAATAAAGAAAATGTATATTGGGAGCCGTTTTTGTGGAGCCACTGACATTTTGCCGGGTCGGCCAGAATCTGCCAGATTTACCCGAATCCAGCGCGGCGTCGGCAGGCCCGCCCAGGCGCTCCCAGGCGCGCCCCGGCGCTTCCAAGCGCTCCGTGCGAGCCCGAGCGCCCCTGGAGCGGCCCGACGAGCACTCCGTGGGGACCTGCGCGAGCGGGGGCGCTCCCAGAGCGGCCCGGCAAGCGTTCCGTGCGAGCCGGCGCGAGCGGGGGCGCTTCCGCGGCGGCCCGACAGGCGCTCCGTGCGGGCCGGCGCGAGCGGGGCGCTTCCAGAGTGGCCCGCGAAACACTATTCCGTGCGAGCTGGCACGAGCGGGAGCGCCTCCAGGGCGGCCCGACAAGCATTCCGTGCGAGCCTGCGCGAGCAGGAGCGCTTCCGAGGTGGCCCGACAAGCGCTCCGCGCAAACCGTCGCGACGCGAATCCTACGTGTTTTACGAAGGATCGCGACATCGACAGCTCCGAAATCTTACCGCCGCGACGCGAATCCTACGCGTTTTACGAGGGATCGCGGCATCGGCAGGCCCGAAATCTCAGCGTCGCGACGCGAATCCTACGATTTTAACGACGGATCGTTGCCTCGCCGACTGGCGCAGGCCAGTGAATCCCGCCGCGCGGCCCCCAGACGTTAATACGTAGTGTAAACCCTAAGACCTAAGCCCCAAACCCTAACCCCTAAACCCCGAACCCTAAAACCATGAACCCAGACCTAAGCACCGAACCCTAACCCCTAAGGCCCGAACCTCAAAGCCCTGAACCCGAAACCCTGTGTAAGCGCCGATCCGTAAGCCCCGAACCCTCTTTCCCCAAGCCCCAAGCCCTAATCCCTGAGCCCCGAACCCTAAGCCCTAAGCCCTAAGCCCTAAGCCCCGAACCCTAACCCCTAAGCCCTGAACCCTAAAGCCATGAACCCGAAGCCTTAAGCCCCGAACCCTAATCCATAAGCCCCGACCCCTACGCCCTAAGCCACGAACCCGAAAGCCTTAAACTCTAAAGCCCTGAGCCGAAAGCCCTAAGCCGTAAGCCCTAAGCCCTGAACCCTAAGCCCTAACCCCGAACCCTAAGACCTGAATTTCGAATTCTAACCCCTAAACCCAAAACCCTAAAGCCTTGAACCCTAAGCCCTAAGCCGTAACCCCACAGGGCCGAGCCCTACCGCCATAAGCCCTCAGCCCTAAGCCCTAATCCCTAAGCCCCGGACCCAAAAAACCTTAAGCCCCGAACCCTAAAGCCCTGAACCCTAAGCCCCAAGTCCCGAAACCCTAAACCCTAAGCCCAGAACCCTAAAGCCCTGAACCCTAAGCCCAAAGTTCGAATCCCTAAGCCCTAAACCCTAAGCCCTAAGCCCCGAACCCCAAAGCCCGGAACCCTCACCCGCAAGCCCGAACCCTAAGCCCTAAGCTCCAAACCCTGAAGCCCCGAACCATAAAGCCCTAAACCCTAAGCCCTAATCCCTAAGCCCCGAACCCTAAGCCCTCAGCCCCGAACCCGAAAGCCCTGGTCGGTTCGCCAGAAATCCACCCCGAGTCCCTCCCCCCCTTTCCCCAAATCTTTCCCTCTCTCCCCTGCGTCTCCCCGCTCTTCGGCTCCCCGTCTGGCGCAAAGGGGGCGCCAGCGCCAAGGGGGGGGGGAGGGGGGGGGTGACCCCCCCTCCTTCAAGGGGGGGAGGGGGGGTGGGGGAGGTCCGAACGGCGGATCGGGGAATAGGGGGGGAGGGGGAGGGGGGGTTCGAGAACCCCGCCCCCTCCACAACTACCGGGTAATCCACTGGCGCTCTTTCCGAAACAACGGCCCGCCACAGGCGTCGATCCACGCAGGCAATCCTGTAATCTTTCGCGCGTCGGCGGACCCCAGGACCCCCCGCCCGCTGGCGCGGAGGTCCTTCCAGAGCGTCAGGCAGGCCTTCAGCATGAGCTCCTCAGAGGCGGGGGACGAGAACACACAGAAGAGGTGGAATAGCACCGCCAGAGGAAATCGCTGGCGAAAATATATCCGTATCCGCGGCCTCGCGGGCCGGGCCTCTGGGCCGCAACTTTGCGGACAACTCTGGGGCGATTTTGTAGTGGCTGCCCCGCGCGGAGCGCATCCGTGCGACCGTGTATCCGCGGGATCGCGCCCTGGAATCCAGACCGCGAGGGCGTGGATATGGCTATGATCGCCGCTCGTGAGGGAGGGAAGCATGGAGGGGAGGGAGGGAAGCACTCGAGTCTCAAGACGATGGCGCCCCCCCCTCTCTTTAGACGACGGGGGCCCATCCGCATGCGGGCCCATAATCTGCAGACTACCCCGCACGTTGCTCCGTGGCCGGGCGGGGCAAGCCAAGGAACACGGTGAGTGCATTGGATAAGAAACCTTTGGATAAGGAACCCTGGGTCTGGAAGCCGGTGGGAATTCAATCGTAGATTTGCCACATGTATACGTATACAGATATACATGTATCACCACCGCCCTCATCAGGTAAACAATCCAGGTTCTGAGGCCTCCTGGGTCACGGTGGCCAGGCGGGGCATGGAAAGAGATAGTAAACGATCGAACGAGCGACCACCGCTGCAGACAGCGTCAGTTGTACGCCTACCTGAGGCCAGGTCGGTGAGGCCGTGGCGTCTGGAATCTGCAACCTGGACCGAGTGGAATCTGGAACCTGGCCCAGGAAGGTGGAGAGAGGAAGAGAAACTGCAAGAAACAAGAACTCTCCCAGGTCCTCGTGGATATCTTAGGTCGGCGCTGGAAACCCCCTCCTTGACGCGCGGAGCGCGCCAGACGCCGCGCCAGAGGTGCCGCCAGGGGGACAATCGCAGATCGCCAAGAACATCGCGGACTTTTAGACAATTGTGTACATGTGGCTCCCGACCGACAGGTTGGTGATATTAGACGGAGAAAGGAAATAGCGCCCGACCCGCCGAACACACCCTGCATACCGCGGCCGCCAGTCCCTAAATGCGGCTGCGCTCCCTGGATACCCCGCCTCGCGCCTTCGACGAATGACGGCTGCATACCGCGACCGCCAGGCCCATTGTGCCAGTTCTGGCCGGGTATCCCACATGGCGCTCTTGGTGGGGGACCGCCCGAAGTAAAACAGCGTGTGCTGTCAGAGAGTGTGCTCACCATATCGCCACGAAAGCCCCGGCGACACGCGATGCAGTGCGAGCGGATAGCGTGTCGCCCCGCTCCGCGAGTCAGGAAACTCGGGAAAGCTCGGGACGCGGACTCCTGGGGACTGAGGCATTGAGGATAGCGTGTCGCACCGAGGGTGCTGGGCCAGGACCGTATCCACGAGATCGCCACCGTATCCCGCATCAGACTCTTGGGTTGGGGATCGCCCGACGCAAGGTGTTTGATAGATCGAATCGAATATAAATCGGCGATGGGAAAAACCTCCCTTCAGTAAACCTCGCCTTAGTGAAAACGGCTTGGGACCGAAACCGACGGACCTGGACCCGCAAAATGACGGCCGCGACGCCCTAAACGGCCAATTCCTTAATCGACGCGTCAGGGTAGGAGGTCTGCCCACCCCCGAGGAAAGTGCGAATGGTGGTAACGCGCAGCTCCTCCAGTATCCGGAGCACGCGGAGCACGTGGCCCGGCGCCACCTCCCCGCGCAGGAACTCCGTGCACCTCCGCCCGAGGGAACGCTCGCGCGGCGCCGGCCCTCGTCACCCCCCCTTCCTCGTCCCTCCTCCCTCTCGGCCTTCTCGCCCTCGTCTTCGAAGGCCTCCTCCTTCTCGCCCTCCTCGTCCTTCACCCTCGCGGCCTCGTCGCCCTCGCCGCTGCCGTCATCCCCCTCATTATCGTCGGCCCTACTCGCCCCCTCGTCCTCCTCGTCGCCCTCCTCATCGTCGTCCTCATTCTCACACATCCTCTCATGCTCATCTCCCGCCGTTCTGCCCCTCCCCCTGCTCAGACCGCCCTCCCGACGCCAACCGTCTGGCTCCTCCTTTCTGGTTCTCTCGTGCCGCTCCCGCGTGACCTCCATTCCACTTCCAGGTCCCGAATCGAACTTGCCCCGAAGCTTTCTGAGGATAAGTTTGCCCTGGATTTCCATTCGTATTTGGGAAGCTGGTTAGTCTGGTCCGACGTGAAGCTGGGCGTTGCCACCTGCGACTGGCTGCACAGGGAAGCGGACCCGTCCCAGTTTAGTCATGAAGCCTGCCATTGCGTTTTTGGCTCGCCGAGCGGCCAGTGTCGCTCCGCCCTTGAACAAGACGTTGAAGACACGGGAAGTGGCACGGGCCTCGACGGTGCAGTGCCCCTCCAAGTCCAAGTCATGAAGCCACTCGTACAGCGAGCCTTGGGCGCTTCCCCTTTGGGACCATGTGGGAGGCGGTGACCTCGAGGACTCCAACGCCGATTTCCCTGTGGACGCTGCGGACATCGCTCTTGTCAGGCGGGGGCAGCCTTGCATGCGAGGGCCAGTTCTAAAGTAGCCCAGGGACATACAATTACATAGAGACGAACCCCCAGATTGCCTATGTTTCCCCCTCCTCCTTCAATATTTTCCCATATCTTGATGGGAGACGAAGATTATTTGAGTCTGTGTGTGTGCGTGTGTGCGTGTGTGCGTGTGTGCGTGTGTGCGTCTGTGCGTGTGTGCGTGTGCGCGTGAGCGCGTGTGCATTTGTGCGCGTGTGTGCGCGTGTGCGCGTGTGACGCGCGTGCGCGTGTGCGCGTATGCGCGTGTGCGCGTGTGCGCGTGTGCGCGTGTGCGCGTGTGCGCGTGTGCCCGTGTGCGCGCGTGAGCGCGTGCGCGCGTGCGCGTGTGCGCGTGTGCGCGTGTGCCCGTGTGCGCGCGTGAGCGCGTGCGCGCGTGCGCGTGTGCGCGTGTGCGCGTGTGCGCGTGTGCGGGTGTGCACGCTTGCGCGGGTGCGCGTGTGTGCGTGTGCGCGTGTGTTTGCGTGCGCGTGTGCACGTGTGCGCCTGTGCGCGTGTGCGCGTGTGCGCGTGTGCGCGTGTGCGCATGTGCGCGTGTGCGCGTGTGCGCGCGTGCGCGTGTGCGCGCGTGCGCGTGTGCGCGCGTGCGCGTGTGCGCGTTTGCGCGTGTCCGCGCGTGTGCGCGTGTGCGCGTGTGCTGGTGTGCTGGTGTGCGCGTGTGCGCGTGTGCGCGTGTGCGCGTGTGCGCGTGTGCGCGCGTGCGCGTGTGCGCGCGTGCGCGCTCGCGCCCGTGCGCGTATGCGCGTGTGCGCGTGTGCGCGTGTGCGCGTGTGCGGGTGTGCACGCTTGCGCGGGTGCGCGTGTGTGCGTGTGCGCGTGTGTTTGCGTGCGCGTGTGCACGTGTGCGCCTGTGCGCGTGTGCGCGTGTGTACTGGTGCTCATGTGCGCGTGTGCGCGTGCGCGCGTGCGCGCGTGCGCGCGTGTGCGCGTGTGCGCATCTGCTCGTGTGCGCGTGTGCGCGGGTGCGCGTGAGCGCGGTTGCGCGTGTGCGCGTGTGCGCGTTTGTCTGTGTGTGCGTGCGTGTGCGCGTGTGCGCGTGCGAGTGCACGTGTGAGCGTGTGCGAGTGTGCGCGCGTCCACGTGTGCAAGCGTGCGCGCGTGCACGCGTGCGCGTGTGCGCATGTGCGAGTGTTCGCGTGTGCGCGTGTGCGCGTGTGCGCGTGTGCGCGTGTGCGCGTGTGCGCGTGTGCGCGTGTGCGCAGGTGCTCGTGCGCGCGTGTGCGCGTGTGCTCGTGTGCTCGTGTGCGCGTGTGCACGTGTGCGCGTGTGCGTGTGTACGTGAGTGCGCGTGTGCGCGTGTGCGGATGTGCGTGTGTGCGCGTGTGCGCGTGTCCGGGTGCGCGTGTGCGTGCGCGTGCTCGTGGGTGCGTGTGTGCGCGTGCGCGTGTGTGCATGTAAGTGTCTGTGCGTGTCTGTGTGTGTCTGTATGTGTCTGTATTTATCTGCGTGTGTCTGTATGTGTGCCTGTGTGTGTCTGTGTGTCTGCCTGTGTGTGTGTCTGTGTGTGTCTGTGTGCGACTGTGTGTGTCGTTGTGTATCTGTGTGTGTCTGTGTGTGTATCTGTGTGTGTCTGTGTGTGTCTGTGCGTCTGTGTGTCTGTGTGTGTGTGTCTGTGTGTGTCTGCCTGTGTCTGTGTGTGTCCGTGTGTGTCTGTGTGTGTCTGTGTGTCTGTGTATGTCTGTGTATGTCTGTGTGTGTGTCTGTGTGTGTCTGTGTGTGGCTGTGTATGTCTCAATGTCTCCGTGTGTGCCTCTGTGTGTCTCTGTCAGTGTTTGCGTCTGTGTGTGTGTCAGTGTCAGTGTCTCTGTCTCTCTGTGTCTGTGTGTATGTGTGTCTTTGTGTCCATCTGTCTCTGCGTCCTTTGTCTGTGTGTTTGCGTGTCGGTGTGTCTGTGTGTCTGTGTGTGTTTGTGTCTGTGTGTCTGTGTGTCTGTGTGCCTGAGTCTCTGTGTCTGTGTGTCTGTGTGTCTCTGTGTGTTTGTGTGTCTGTATGTCTGTGTCTCCGTGTGTCTGTGTGTCTGCATGTCTGTGTCTCTGTGTGCCTGTGTGTCTGTGTGTCTGTGTGTCTGTGCGTCGGCGTGTCTGTGTGCCTGTGTGCCTGTGTCCCTGGGTGTCTGTGTGTCTGGACGTCTGTGTGTATGTGCGTGTGTGCGTGTGTGTTTGGTTTCCCCCTCCTGATGTGCTTTGTGCACCTTTGGATGTCGGAGCGCATCTCGGCGAGGGATAAGTCTTGGTCGTCCATACTTGCGCGATGGAGAGGTGCATGTTGTTCTCGGGTCCGTCGGTGTCTTCTTTAGTCGCTGACTTGGCCGCTGAGATCGCCGCCCAGGGTGTACTTGGGTCGAGGATGCGAGCGACGTTAGGGCCTCGCCAGCAGGCGTGATGGCTATCTTGGCAGAGGAGGGCGCTGTAGCCGAGAAGGTTTGGTTCAACTCCATGCGAAACTCTCTGAGATTGCTGGCCATGGCTGCGACCAAGAGCTGTCGAACGTGTTGATTCCGCCAGACTTATTGCTTTTCATCTGCTGCTCCACCCGCACTGCCTCCGCTGCCAGCTGCAAACCCGTGAGAGGAACGAGAGGGAGGGCGAACACCAGGAGGTTCTTGTTCATTTTGGGGACGTGCCGCTGCACCTGATCGGCTTCGACAACCTGGACGGGGCGCGATCGCGATGTAGTGCTTTATCCGTGCTGACGTCCCTGGCATCCCAGCCACCAGCACGAAGTCCTGGAGGAGAGCCCAGCATGGGCGAGTATGGAGGCTGGGGGCGGACTCGCCCCGCGGATATGGAGGGCTCCGTGCAACGCCGCAGATGTGAGCAGGATAACTTAGAAAGCCAGCCGCGGACCAGCTGTATCCATTCGGGGAGGCGGGCCCAATGAGCATCTTGAGCCAAAATGGTTAAGGAAGAGGAGCCAATGAAAGAAGAGAAGGAGGAGAAGGAGTAGGATAAGGAGGGAGGGGAGGAAACGGGAACAGAGATCGACGAATGGTGAAGGCGGGGACGCATCGTGGGCGCATCGTGGGGCACGCCAGCACAAGGCGCCAGAGTAAATGGAGGGGGGATACTTAGAAAAAACAGGATGTGTGGGAATTCCTTTGTTCCCAACCCTCCCGTGGTCGGGTTTTCATGTTGCATGTAGCGTTGCTGATGCGAAGCTGCCTTCTGCCTCCCTCCTCATCCTGTCTTGTTCTGCGTCTTCCTCTTCCTCGAGGCAAACGTCGCCACTTTCGTGGGCTTCTGGGAGGTCCAGCGGAGTGGGGTGTCACGCAGTCCTCGCCGAAACCTCGCGGCTCCCTCGGGGGCTGCGAACAGCGCATCCGTCGCCACTTTCGTTGGCTCCTCGGAGGTCCAGCGGATTGGGGGTACTGGGGACTTGCCACAGATGTTGCCGAGGTGGGCGGGGCCCCGAAGGGGCGCTTGTCCCCCAAGCAGTGCTTCCGCTTGGGGCTCCTGACCTGCCTTCTAGGGAGCTGGGCCCATCTGCAAGCCCGGCGGCCCCGATCCCGTCCGTCGCCGCCCTATCCTTCCAAATGAAAAACCCGCCCCGTTCCCGTCCGTCGCCGCCCCCCCGTTGCAGCCCCCCCCGTGCCCCCCCCCCCTGGTTCGCACCGCAGGCTTTGCATTGCTTGTCGCATCGCTTCGCGCTTCGTATTTGCATGGCGTTGCAATTCTTCGCATCGCGCTACACGGCGATTGATTGAGTTGCATTGCGTTGCATTGCTTTGCACACACATTGAATGACCTAGTATATCTTAGAAGTGTTGAGCGTTGGTTTGCATTGCGTTGCAGTACTTTGCGTTGAACTGCATTGAGTCGCAATGCTAACAATTGCTTTGCAATGCTTTGCGCTGCTTTTCGTAATTTTGCATTGTGTTGCATTTCATTAGATTGTGTTGCATGGTGCTGCATTGCGTTGCGTTGCGTTACGTTGCATTGCACTGCGTTGCATTGCTTTGCTTTGCTTTGCATTGCATTGCTTGGCAGCGCTTTGCATTGCTTTGCATCGGAATGCATGGATTTGCATCGCTCTGCATCGCATTACATTGCGTTGCATTGGTTTGCACTGCTGTACATTGCTCTGCATCGCACCTATGACACTATGTGGATTGCACCACCTAGATTGCAACACCTGGATTGCACCGCCTTCTGCGCAAGAAATCGCCACGAAAAGGACGTCGTCGGGACCGGGATGGATTGAGAGGCGCCCAGCGCACCTCTGGCCGAGGCCCGGGAGCTGGTAGGTGTCCCCGAGGAGGATGAGGGGCAGGACGTTGTCCAGCGTGATGGCGGCCTGGCTGCCCAGGCGACGGCGGACGGCTGCGTCGACGCCGACTCCGACGCCCAACCCGTCCCCGAACCCGTCGCCGAAGCCGACTGCCTACCCGACGCCGACGCATACGCCGAAGCCGACGCCGAATGCGGCGCCGAACCTCTGCCCGTGCTTTCCGGCGGGCGCGGCTGGCGCTGCGCACCGGGGCCGCGCCATGCTGGGCGGCGGGCTGGCCCGCGGGGCAGGGCGCGCGCGCAGTGGCCTCTGTGGCGCCTGCGGCGCGGCGCCCGCGGCTTCCCCGACAGGGCGCCCCCTCTGCCCCCCTCTCTGCCTCGCCCATTGGGAGGCTTGGCCCGCGCCTCGGCCCTCGCCACCTGGGTAGTCGAAGCCAATCTGGCGCCAATCTGGCAGGCCCAATCTGGCAAACGGGGGCAATCTGGCGAGGGAGCCAACGCGAATCCAGCCTGGCGAAGAACCCAAATCCTCCCGCTTGGCCGGGCCAGATTGGCCCGTGGGGCCCAATCCAATCTGACAGTCTGGCCTTCGACTACCCAGCCTTCGATGCTCGAAGGCAGCCCTTTCTGGAAGACCTCACGTGTTCTCTTCTCTTCCAACAGGGAGGAGGAGGAGGAGGAGGAGGAGGAGGAGGAGGAGGAGGAGGAGGAGGAGGAGGAGGAGGAAAGGATCGAGTTGCCACTGGCCGCCGCGCCCTGGGTCACAACTCGGCTCCGGCGTGGCCCTTCGGGGCGAGCTGGGCACTCCCAAAAAACGTTCTCGGCGAGGCGCGGGCGTGCAGCGACCACGCCCGAAAAAAACAACCCTCGCACCTCTCGAGAGGGCTGCCGCTGCGGAGCGCACCCTGGGCTTGGAACACCCGCGAGAACCAACAAAGGCGCCCTCGGAAGGGGGGTCCAAGAGGGGGGGGTGCAAATCGTGACCGGCGGCATGTGCGCGGCCCAGCGGGGGGGCCGGGGACGTAATGAATCAAGAAGAGGCGCCATGAGATCTGGGGAGATCTCATGGCCCCCGCCATGATATCCCCCCCCTAGTCATCACCCCCCTCTTTTCCGCCCCCGACACAAAGGCGCCCTCAAACCAAACCTCGAAAACCTCGAAAACCTCGAACCGCGACTCGCGAACCTCGAAGCCTCGAACCGGAAGCGCCCGAAGGCCAAACCTCGAGCCGCGACTTCACCACCAGAGGAATAACCCAAAACTGCAAAAACATTCAGCTTCCATGGTCCGAGCGGATTTCTTGGATCTGCGCGGTACCCCTTTCCGTGGCGCGCGGAGCGCGCCAGGGAAAACGCAGGAAACGTCGCCAGAGGGGGCGAGCGCCGATCCAAGAAATACGCGCGGACCGCCAACAAAAATATGTTTACGCTGTTTTTCTCCTTCGAGCCACCGCGGCGGTGGCACACCGCGGCGGCGAACGCGCCGCCTCGCCGGGCCCGCGCGTCCCGCCCGCGTCCTGGGGGGCCGGCCCGCCGTGGCCGCGCGAGAGCGGCCTCGGCCCATGACGTGCTGACGGGCAACGATAAGGGGATAGCCAGAGGGGGGGGGGCATCGACCTGGAGTCGACGATACATTGCCGACAGATCGGCGAGAGGCCCCCGATAGTGCATGGGCACCTTCCTGGGCACGTTGGGGCTATCAGGCCCCTATCGGCGATCAGATTCGGGGTCGATCGAGGATCAGAAGACGGAAGAGGAGGAGGAGGAGGAGGAGGGGGATGCGTTCCCCCCTGTGCCCAGGCCCCGAGGATCAGAAGACGGAAGAGGAGGAGGAGGAGGAGGAGGAGGGAGGAGGAGGGGGAGGAGGAGGAGAAGGAGGAAAAGGAGGAGGAGGAGGAGGATGAGAGGAGGATGGAGGAGGGAGGAGGAGAGGAGGGGAGGAGGAAGAGAGGAGGAGAGGACGAGGAGGAGGAGGACGAGGCGAGGAAGGAGAGGAGGATGAGGAGGAGGAGAGGAGGAGGAGGATGGGAGAGGAGGGAGGGAGGAAGAGAGAGGAGGACGCGGAGGAGAAGGACGAGAGGAGGAGAGGAGGAGGAGGAGGACGAGGAGGAGGAGAGGAGAGGAGGAAAAGGAGGAGGAGAGGAGGAGGCGAGAGGCGAGGAGGGAGGAGGAGAGGAGGAGGAGGAGAGTGTGGGAGGAAGAGGAGGGAGGAGGACGAGGAGGATGAACGAGGAGGAGGAGGAGGTGGAGAGAGAGTACAGGAGGAGGTAGGAGGAACGAGTAGGAGGAGGAGGATGAGGAGAGGAGGAGAGGAGGAGAGGAGGAGAGGAGGAGGAGGAGGAGGGGAGAGGGAGGGAGAAGAGAGGAGGAGGACGAGAGGAGTAGGACGAGGAGAAGGAGGAGGAGGAGGATGAAGGAGGAGAGGAGGAGGAGGAGGAGGAGGAGAGGAGATGGGAGAGGAGGAGGAGGAGGAGAGGAGGAGGAGGAGGGAGGAGGAGGAAGGATGAGGAGGAGAATGAGAGGAAGGAATAGTAGAGAGGAGGAGAGGAGGAGGAGAGGAAGGAAGGATGTATTATTACATGAGTAGGAGGATGAGGCCGAGAAGGAACGGGAGGATGACAGAACAGGGATGCTCGATTTATGGGTGCAGCGTCCGAGCACCTACTCAAGGTGACCTACGCTCCATGTCGAAGCCCCCCTGCGATTTGATTGCTGCAGCCCAGCCGTACCTCACTGGTTTGATAAGGGGGCATGGCCACGTAGCTCAAGGACCGAGCTCCGAGGTGGCCCCGTCAGAAGAGGCTCGCTATCTTACATCGCGAGTCCCTTCGGGTAAGTGGGGGGGTGGGGGGGGGGCGGCTGCTGGCCCTTCCGCGTGCCCTAAGGGAGGGGGCGCGCGAGCTTAGCAGGGCGCCCAAGCCAGGGGGTGGAGGAGACGACGACACGACCTCAAAAGGAGGCGAGGGGGGAGAGACGAAAGGCCCGAGACCCCAAACTGTTGCTTGGGTGGGCTGGTTATTCTACAGTTTGGATTCCGTGCTCCCCTCTCCCGCTCGGCTCCCCTCTCGGTCGTTCCGAAAGATGCCCCATGTATTGTCGCATCTGTACTCCGGTACTCTGTTAAAGTAACCCATCGTTCCCCCTCGACGTGTATGCGAGGTAGAGCATGATGTGAGTCACGGTATAAGGTAGGGCCAGTGTGGAGCACTCTGGCGGGCTTCTTGGTGATCGTTCTCTCTTCCCTTCGACGCACTGCAGTAGTGCACATGACGGTGCACAAACAATACTTCCCATTGCGTTGGCGATGCAGGCGCTCTGTTGTGCCCATGCTGGCTGCCAGGGTTTGCACTCCGCGAAACCTCGCTAATGCTCCGCCTGATTGTCTGCAGGCACGGCCAGCTCGCAGCTTGCCACGCCCGGAAAACTCGCAAATGCTAGCTCTTGGCGGATCAGCAGGCTCCAGGGGGTGAGCTCAGTGGTGGCCGCTGGACGAGCTGGCCGCAAACGTCTCCCCCGACTTGGGGTAGCCGAACTTTTCTGCGAAGATCTCGGTGCCATCCAGCATGGTCTGGGTGCTGTCCCGTAGCTTCTGACGCTCATTCAGCCTCTTCACTTTCTCTGGGTCCACATTGTCCTCGTTGTTCAGCTCCTCGATGGCAACGTGCATTACGCCGTGGAGGTTCTCTTCGTCGTTCTTCGCAATCTTCGGCTCCAGTTCACGCCGGCTCTGCACAATGAAAACCCTCCTCCCTGACCTCTCCCATTGGTCTACTGGGCGCCTTGCGATGAGGTCGCAACCTTCGATCGCGTGCGTCATCGGGAGGGATAGTGGGCCCAGATCGGATAGCTCCTCTGGGCACATCTTCTAGGCCGCGTCGAAGAACTGGCGGCGGCACTCCTCGATGGTGTCGCCCAGTAGCTGCGGAAGCCTTCCCGCGACGAGCGCTTGCCATGTGGCTCCCACTTTGAGCCCCACCACCGTCGATGGCAGACTCTTGAACGGGAGGAACGTGGACCCGCGCCCGATATGTGGCCATTTCTCGCTGCGTGCTCCAAACGTTTCCGCCATCTTGCCCACCCACCCCTTCAAGAGCACGTCCTCTGGGTGACTCGCATGCGCCTTCGCGAGCTGCAACCAGTCCACCTAGCACCAGAACTTCCACTTGTCACTTCTCGAATTGGGATGTGGCCTCTCCGCCACAGCTTGCTCGGGAAGTCGAGGCCACGCGAGCAGCCCCCCCCCCCCCTTTCCGCCCCACCCAGCGCCCCATCCTGCATCTACCGAGCAGCTGCATGTCGTCGCTCCACTTGTCCACGAAGCACAGCGCCTCGAGGAACTCTGGCTGCTTCTCACCCTTGTCCTTCGCCGCCTTGCAGTCGCCCATTCCGCGCAGCTTCTGTTCCCCCATCCAACTCTTGTCGCGCCACCTTCAGCGCATCGTCGTCATTGGCGCCCATGGCCGTGCACTTGTTGAGTAGGATGTCGCATTCTGCTGCGCAGCGAAGAGCCCCTTCCATTATCTCCCCTGCTTTTGTTCCTTTCTGTGCGAAGCTTTTTTCCCAACCATCCTGTGGTGTTGGGTCCTCGTTTTGAAGAGACGTCGCCCCGCGTTCCTCCTCCTCCTTCCTCCTCCTCCCCTTCCCCCCGCCTCCTCCCCCTCCCACACTCATTCTGGCACACCCCTCACGCGCTTCGTGGCCCCATAGGGAGCTCCACCGAAGGCCCCAGTGGCGGCGCCCGCATGCGCTTCCACCCCCCATTCTGGCACACCCCTCACACGCTTCGTGGCCCCATAGGGAGCTCCACCGAAGGCCCCAGTGGCTGCGCCCGCATGCGGTTCCACCCCCCATTCTGGCACACCCCTTCACACGTTTCGTGGCCCCAATAGGGAGCTCCACCGAAGGCCCCAGTGGCTGCGCCCGCATTGCGGTGGCACCCCCATCACACGCTTCGTGCCCCATAGGAGCTCCACCGAAGGCCGCAGTGGCTGCGCCCGCAGCGGTTCCACCCCCCATTCTGGCACACCCCTCACACGGTTTCGTGGCCCCATAGGGAGCCCCACCGAA